ATCATTAATTTGTTTATTTGCGCTTGCTCTGCTTTCCTGATATGGGTATTCACTGCTACAAATCCCCCTCTTAGAACTGCTTTAATTGCATCCCATAACTTCTGGTATGTTATATTGTTTTATCACTTAATTGAAGAAACTGTATATTTCTTCTTTAATTTCACCTGTGGCCTCTTGGTTGTTCAGGAGGGTGTTATTTAATTTCCATATGTTTATGAAATTTTCATGGTTTTTTTGCCATTGATTTCCAATTTTACTGTACTACAGTCTGATAATAAGTATGGGATAATTGCTCCTGTTTCATAAAGTATTGTTTTTTATCCTTGGACTCTCAGTCTATGAATTTCTTTTTTTTAATTAGTTTCTTGTGGACAGAATATTTTGGATCTTGCTTCTTGATCCATTCTGCCAGTATAATTTGACTGGTGAACTGAGACCATTTACGTTGATAGTTATAAGTGATATGGGTTGAATTATACTTGTCATGTTATTTTCTTTTTGTGTCTTCTCTTTTTTCTCTGTCTGTTTAATAGCTTGCTTTGCCTGCAGGATTTATTATGTTGAGATTCATAGAGTTATGGTGCTTGTTATCTCTTTCTAGAATGTCCTTTAGAATATTTTGGAGAACTGGTTTGGCAAGAATGAGTTTGTTCAGATGTTCTTTCTCAAGAAACTATATCATTTCTCCATCAATTTTGAAGCTTAGGTTTGCTGGATAGATCCGTCTGGGCTGGAGGTTGTTTTCCTTTAGGGCTTGAAATACTTCACTCCAAGCTCTCTGTGACTTAGGGGCTTATGTTGAGAAGTCTGCTGTGATTCTGACAGGCTTTCCTTTATAAATGACTTGCCTTTTAATTTTTTTAATGTTCTGTTCATTTGTTGATCTCCTGAAATCCTGACTAGTATATGTCTTAGGATAGACCTTTATTGACCATGGCTAATTGGAGTTCTATATGCCTCACTTATCAAATTCTTTTTCCATACTTGGGACATTTTCTACCATTTGTGCTGTCTCTTACCTTTTCACTCATGCAAATTAATCTTATGTTATTTTTCTTTGCATTATCTAGGAGCTGCTGATTTCTCATGTTCCCTTACCACAAGATTTTCAAATTTTTCTTTTCATGATCACTAATCACAATCTCACTTTTTATATCTGATATTTTGCTTTCACATTGGCTCATTCTCCTATATATGCTTCCAATGGAATTTTTAATCTCCTGGCTATTTGAATCTATTTTTTTAATTTTATGGAAAATAAAGTAAAATAAAATTTCATAACAAAATAATAGGAGAATAATAATAGCTAATATATTGCATATTGTTATCTTTAAAGTTGTTACTCAGATTACGAAATATGGTCATACAAAATTCTCCACTTGTTATAAACACAAACCTTCCTTTTCAAAGAACTAAGAGACATTATTAGTATAACTAACTTGTTTTTGGCTTTTCTCTTCCTTTTTTTCCCTTTTTAATCCCATAGCAATTATGAGGGCATCAATTGAATAAATGAATGAATGAATTAACCAAGCATGCATTCTATACTGATCACACAATCTATGTCTGGACTCTCTTGGTGGAGACATAACTGATTGTTTTTCATTTTTTGTTATCTTTGATAAGGATTTTCCTGCCACTGAGTAAAAAGACAATAATTGGCCTAGACTAGTTAAATATATTGGTAAATATTGGAGCCATAAAATTGTGTTTGCCAGAGGAGTTTGTCTGGTCATAATGATAACAATCACATACTGTTTTGGGAAATCAACAACATAGTCACTTCCTTTTGAGAGTCTGACTTCTAAAACAGGACGCCAGCCAATTAACTTGCAGCCACACATCAAGAAGTCTGTATTAACACCAATAGAGGACTGCAGGACCAGGCACCTGAATCAGAAGGCCATGCGCCCACACACAGACATGCACACACAGGCACACACACGTGTGTAAAGAAGCCAGGACACATCCTTGGAGCAATACTCTCAAAATAACAGTAAGTGTCCAATGTTGCAAACGGGCAAGACGCTGGAGTGAAATGAGGATCTGCTAAGGTGAAAAGGATATCAGGACAGACAGAGGTGAGGGGAGACGAAGAGAGCCCTGAGGAAAGAAAATTCAGTAAATGCTGAGTTTGTAAGTATTTTCCAGAGCTAAGGAAACTGCTCCACTAGTCCAAAAGAAAGAGAACCAAGCTGCTGTGTTTGGAAATTGGCTATTAATTGGCACAGGTCACATACAAACAAATACCAAAAATGCCTAAATAAGCAGTCATAGTCCAATAATACACATGCAACCCTGAATTCTGCCTAAAGATGTAGGATACTTTAGTTGCATGAACAGCAAGGTTAATGTTCAGTTTTTCACTACTTCTTCTTCAGAGTTAGGGTTTCTTTAACAAGCTATAACAACCCTGTTCACTTAGGTTCTTGGATGTCCTCATGTAATTTTCCATGAGCACATGTAAGAACAGAGGAAAAACAAATATCATATAAGCCCTCAATAAGAACAAAAATAATTCCATGAAAGGTTTTTCTCTATAACAGAGAGGGGACTTCTTAGCCAGGTTTCCATTTTCAACCTTCATTTCAGTCTTTGATCTACATACATATATGATCTATTATGATATAGCAATATAATATAGTATATGCAGAAATATGTTGTACATTATATTATCTACTATTATATATAGCATATATGTGTATATTATTTTATGCTTTGTCATAATTGCGAACTTACAAGAGAGTTGCAAAGGAACTCCAAAATATCCTTCATTCAGGTTCACTAGTAGTTAAATAGTTCCACCACAACTGCTTAATCAATTTCTCGCTTAATGTATATTTGAAAATATGTTCCATATACCCCAAGTCCTCATGTCCACTTAATTCTTAATATCATGTTCCTCCTCAGGATATATACTGACTTTACTTTCTTATATAATCTCGATACAGTCAGTAAATTCAAGAACTGAACATCTATATACTTTTTACCCAATAAACCATCTTTATCTCATTTTTTAAAATTATCTCAATAACACACTTTGTACATTTTCTTTTCCACTTTAGGGATACCATGTTACATGTAGTTGTTACTTAGTCTTTAGTTTCCTTTTATCTGAAATGACTCCTTGGTCTTTCTTTAATGACATAGTTGTTTTTGGTGGTTTTTTTTGTTTTTTTGGGTTATTTTGTTTTTTGTTTTTTGAAATAGGGTCTTACTATGCAGTTCAAGCTGGTCTTGAGCTCACTTTGTACCCCAGGCTGGTCTCAAACTTGCAACAATCCTCCTGCCTCGGGCTCCCAAGTGCTGGCATGTGCCCCCATGCCCAGAAATATAGGTATTTTTAAAGATACCAATTGGTTGTATTTTGACTATTTCTCAATTTGGGTTTGTCTGCTCATGACAAAATTCAGTTTACAGCATCCCAGGCAGGGTACTACGAAAGTGGTATTATATCCTTCGCACGAAATTACATCCAGAGGCACCTTCTGCCTGCTGTTCCTTTATCAGCTGTGCTCATTTTGTTTTCCTCATCAGGGCACTGTTCTGCTCACCCAATGTTTTTGTTGTTGTTGTTGTTTTATTTAAAGAGAAAAAAACATTAAAAGTGTAGAAATAATACAAATTTCAGAAAAATAAACAGTAAGAAATCACTAGTTGATAAGTTACATATTGTCATTTTAGAAATAGTTGTTCAAGTTGCAAAATTAAAGCACACAAAGTGACATTCAAATAATGACACTGCAAACAGTTCTGCTCAGTGATCCAACAAAAACTTAGTAATATGGTTATCAATCCTACACACTTGTTTTTTATCTTAAAGAGGGTAAGATTAAACATGACAATACAGAACAGAACAGTTCATAAGGAAACAATTTAAAGAACACAGATTTCAAAGCAAGTCCACTGGAGATCTTCACTGTCCTGCTCATCCAGTGTTTAGCTGCTATTGTTGCCCACCACAGTACTGAGCAGTTGGGGGGAGACCTTTGCAGAAGGTGGCAGTGTCCTTATCCTCCTCAGTCCTTTCCCTCAAGGTTTATCGTGCTCTGGTGAGGCTTTCCCACACCAGTCTCACTACGATTATTACAAAATGATGATTCCCCAGCTCTTCTCTTTCCTATTTTACCAGACTTCTGCTTTAACGTAGAGATTTCACAGTCTACCTTCTATTTACCCATTATCAGTAGAGACCCAGATTCTTATTCAGCAGGTTATAATTCACTGCCACCTTTACTTATTTTTATACTCACACTGTGCCAGGTTCCTCTGTGGGGAGTCCCTTCCAGCTGGTTTCAAGGGGGTGCAAATCTATGGGCCAAAATGAAATAGCTTTTGAATTTTTTGTAAAAGTTTTCCAAAGCCAGGGCACTTGCCTATTAAGTGTTCCCTTTTCAGGATGCCTTGAAAGCCTGGAGACTTCAGCTTCTTTCATGTCATGACACATCACTGCACGCTCAGTCGGTTCTTAACACTGAACTCTTTCCTAATTGCCACGTATAATGGCCTCATACAGGGACAAAGTCAGGCTTGCTCTGGGTCAAGTCACGCCATCGATTACACAACCTTCCAAATCGCTTGCTCTAGTGTCAGCCTGCCTCACCGCTTGAGGTGTGACAGCAATACAATTACTGGGCTGACTGTCACGTTCAGATATATGCATGCTGGAAAGTAGACGGCTCAGCGTCTTTGTGCTTTCACTACTAGTGGTATGTTACTCGTAACACATCACATGTGTCAAGACCAAGCTGAGGGACAAGAGCCTCTCAGGTACCCAGCCCCCACCACCACCACCCAAGTGTCCTCGTGGTCAGAACTAAGCCCAGCTGTCACTGATTCTGGCTCTGAGAGCAGTCATTCATTTATGTCATCATGGCAGGAGGTGCAGGTCTCCTCACTTGTCCAGTAACCTGCCTTTGTGTAACACGGACACCCCTCTGTACCCACCCTGTAGCTCAGAAACCTCTACCGTTCTCCCATAGTCAGGGGAATTTTAATATGGTGGTGTTTCATTTACATGAGCCTTGTAAATACATGGCAATAAAATTGCATGACATAGCACAGTCAAGAAATGAAAGATTTGCAACCTTTTTAATTTGAAATAAGCTAGTCTAACATAAATTGAAGCGAAACACAAAATTATCTGCAAAAATCCATTTTAATCCTAACAATGAAAACTGAATTAAAAACTATTAGGTTTTTAATCAGTGTACTCAGAGATGAAAGCACCAAAGAGACTCAGACCACGAAGGGAAGAAAATCACAGCAGGAAAGGAAACGCGGGAGTCTGAGGGGCCATCCGTCCACAGTGGTCCTCTTCGTCTGTGCAGATCATGCTTAAAGTAACCTTTGTTTTTAATAAGAATCATTTAAAGTGAACAATTGTATACTGCCCACTTGCTTGTATTATATTTTTGAAAACATGGTTCATTAAAGTCAGCATGTGTTTTACACAAAACATATTTTTTTTAGAACTTGCTTCTCCAAATACTTCAGGACTCTGATGCAGCTTCAGAAATCTGTTTTCCACTCCAAAATCTTCACGCTGGAGAATCTAAGTGGTTTCATGCCAGCCGCAGCAGCCCCGGCTGGGTATTTGTGGCCCAGCATGTGACAGAATTTCTACTACTACCAGGGTCCAGGTCGGGGTGCTGAGAAATGGGTGGATGAGTCTGAGTTGGGGCAAGGGACAGCCACCAGAACAGGGCCATGGTGCTGCTGTGGAGGCAGTGAGGTGATGGGGGCCAGCCAGGAGCCCTGATCATGCCAAGGGCACCCCAGGGGAAGGCTAACTATGACAGTAAGACCAGATCAGGCAGCATCTTCAGAGCAGTCTGGTCAGAGCTGAGCAGCACTGGCAGAGAGGACAAAGTCCAGTGTCCCACATGGAAATCGAGGGACAAGGAGAGGGGCTCAGATGGACCAGTGTCCCCAGGAGCAAGGGAAGAAGTGACAAGGGTTTGACTCAAAGGTGTGCACTGGTGGTCAAAGGTCAGTCAGAGCATCCTCAGCTGGCCTGAAGATGGCCTCTCTGTGGCTGGCCAGAGTGGCCTTGTGGTGGGGACAGTCAGCGACCCCACTGTGGAGTCATCAGTGACTTGGTATAGCGAAACCACAAGTGGGTGTAGGATGCAGGTCGCTGGAAGCGGGAGCGGCAGCCTGGGCAAAGCCCCACGGCCTGAGGAGGTGACTGCATGAGGACAGAGCAACGGGGCTGGCATTGCTGATTGCAGAGCAGAGGCCAGCCACAAAGCGGCCGTCGAGACCCGCAGGACTCAGAGTATCATGTAGGGACACTGTGTGCGCTGGAGATGACTTCCTAGACATTGACATCATCTTGTGCAGGGGGGGGTTTTACTCTGAGAGGATGAGAAGCAGCTACCATGGACCCTGAGGCTGGGGATAACAGCTGCCTGTGGAAAACGGGTGCCCAGCTGGTGCCCAGCCAGTGCCCAGCCAGGGCCCAGCCCAAATCTGTGCAGTAATGAAGGGAAGTACTTCCACATGAACCATAGGCTTGCAGACTGGACAGCCTGGGCCAGGTCAAGGGCTAGTTAGTTAGCGTTGCAAAGCCCTAGCTCGTTTGGGGGCCTCCCTGGGGTGCCCTGTCCTGTGCAGTGGCAGTCAGGTGAACCCCCTGCTGCCTGCCTGAGTGTCTCAGTTGCTCTCATCTTCCTTGGTTGCACGCACCTTCTCTCAGGCCTCCATAAGGAGGCTCAAGCTGGGCGTGCTATTTGCCAGGCGTGAGCAGCCCATGCACTGGCTGAGCGTGGAGCCTTGGGTGCCCACAGCCCTGTGCAGACCCAGCCTGGCTGTGCTCTCAGCACAAGTCTCACAGGATCTTTAAGTAAGGAACCAATCTTGTCATCTTCAGGGATAGAATCCTGCTGTTGCCCTTCTTTTTTTTTTTTATTTAAAGAGAAAAAAAAGGCAATAAAAAAAAACCAAAGCAGTAAAAGGGTACAAATAATACAGAATTTCAAGAAAAAAAATACAGTAAGAAATCACTAGTTAATAGGTTACATATTGTCATCTTAGAAACAGTTGTCCAAAATTATAAAATTAAAGCATATAAAGTGGACATTCATACAGTGAGATTGCAGACAGTTCCATTCAATGATCCAACAAAAGCTCAGTAATATGGTTTTCCATCCTACACACTCAAACATACATGCAGTTATATCCCTTAGACTATCTTCCTTTCCTCTCTTTTTTACAATGACAATTACACTTTTTGGGTTTTTTTACTCCCACAGTTCTTATTACTTTTTTTTGAAGAGAGTAAAACCTAATGTGACTAAACAAAACAGAGTCGGTTAGAACAGAAGGATGGGCATAGTACATGATGCAAAAATAGAATATCAGGAGATCAAAAATGGTTACCATTGTTGCCCTTCTTGACCTGGGAGTTCCTGACAGGCAAGCACCTCTCTCCCTGGCTTCTCTCAGATCTTTGAGCAGATGTTGAATTTCCAGCCCAGTCCAGAGGTGGCAGGAAATGTCTTTCCTTATCCAAGTTCACTGTGCAGATGGTGCCTGCTTTCCTAACCATGGACTGGGTGGTGACGGGTGCGACTGTGGCCTGACTAGCAGATGCCTGACAAGCTTCTGGTCATCATTCCGCAGCCTCCAACCCTCTGGATCATCAGGCAGGTTGATTGCATTGCTCATAGATTGCTCGCAGCTGCACCCTGCAGATGTATAGAGGTTGGCACGGCTCTGGAGAAGTCACATTGTCCCTGGAGAGAGCTCACCTGTAGGTGCCTGCAGGGCTGCCTGTCATCCAACTCTCCTGCAGAAACAGTGTCCTTACCCTCTGGCCTCCATGAGTCTTACCCTCATGGCCAGTTTCCATGGCTCAAGGGTGTTAGGGGTCCCAGTGAGCCAGCTCCCAAGGGTGATTTCTCCCCTTCAAAGGTGTGTCTCGGCATGGGATGATGCCCCAGCAATTCATTCTGGCATTACTCCATAAGAGAGAGAGGTACAGCGGACCAGAGGCAAGGGCTTGGGGACCACTGGGAGCACAGGTGACGGTGGGGAGCACATTCAGTGTCACAAGCACCCTTCCCCTTTTTGATACCTGTGTCCGCCCTTGGCCGTTACTGGGCATTTTTCACAGAGTTTCAGCTCTCACGAGCTGTGGTTTATTCTAAGGTTGATAACAGCTGCCTCTGCTGAGGGCCTTGGGGACATCTCCAGCGAGTCGCATCATACTGCTGAGTGATGCACTCGGCTGCCCTATGAAACACCAGAGGGGGCCTCTCAGCTTCTGTTGGTCTCAGCCACGATCTCTCATAATCTACTACACTTAATGAACAGTTCTTTAAAACAAAAACCTAATTATCAGTTATGAAGTCTCTTTCCTATGTATTCACTAACCTACTCCAATTTCCCTGACGTTTTAAACCTAAAAAAACTTGACCAATGAGTCTAATAAAAACTTGACCAATGAGTCTAATGAAGTTTTTCTTTCAGAACCCTAAACTAACACTTTGGGATCTTAAAAAAACAGACTTTCAAATAGTAGTAATTTCAGAATCATTGTTTTTGTCCAGAGAATCAAAATATAATGCAGCAAAAGACAAGAAAACAGCTTGGCTTGTGGTCATTTGGCTATCGGTACATCTCCTGACCAAAAAGGTTAAAAAAAAGAATAAAACAAATGAAAAGAGAGAGAGAAGAAAAATATCAAAGACATTGTTTTAAAATTAGCACATTACTTTGTATTTATCACAATCAGCATGTTAAAATTATGTATATATACATACACACAGATATACATGGTGTATTGGTCATGCTCATCTTTGTATTTCTAGGGACAAGGGAAAATATTTTGACATGAAATATGAACATGACTCACCAGTATGATGATGCATAAGGATACAGAGACACAGAACCACCCCTCCGCACTGAGATGTATTTAAACCTCAGTGAACCCCAAATTCTTCACCACTGCATGCTCGTGCCCCCAGCAGCAGCCTCGAAGTCCACAGTGACCTCAGTAAAACACTCTGCACATGAATGAACATCAAGGCTTAACCGCTTATGCTAATCTGTCTTCGTTGTTCAAAAATTATGTTTTTTAAAAATGCAAAGCCTACTTGTTATAACTCTCTTTACACGAGTTTATTTTTAAGGGCTAACTGTAAGAATTATTGTTCATATATGAAGCAGTGCCCAAGAAATTATTTCTGCAGCCATCCTCCACACAAAAATCATCAAAAGTGTCCTTTCAGTTTGGAAATCGCATGGTGCTTGCTTTCAAACCACTTGTGTTTCCCAAACGGAGGGTCAGCCGCACCGCAGAGCCTTAGTTTTGCAGCTCACCCTGGCCCAGGCTGCAGAACTCAGCAATAATACTCCGGCCTGCAGACCCCACTTTTAAGCCTGCGACTCCACGCTTGACCCGGAGCACAGCAGCAGCTTCTCGGAGTCCTCTCTGTGCCTTCGAGTCCAGAGGTCCCCGAGGCTCTGGGACCTGGGCGACAGAGTCTCAAACCGGATGTAAGTCTCCTTGGCCAGATCATCTTCCCAGAAAGACTCCGGCTTACACTGCAGTTTGCAAACTTTATACAGTAAAAAGCAAATCAGTGGCACCGCGACCACACAGGCAGCGCTGGTGACCACGACGAGGAAAGGCCACTGCGGGTCCTCCGCTCCCGCCGCGTCGGTGGAGAAGGTGACACACTGGTCCATGCGGGGCGGCTCTCCCCGGGGACACACGCAGGCCACGTACTGCCTGCCCGGCTCCAGGCCATCTATGGTGACCTGGTTGTCGCTGGAGTCCGCGTTCAGCAGCAGCAGGTCCTTCTCGCCGTACTTGGAATACAGCACGGTGACCGCGGAGCGCTGCGTGGCGTTGACCCCGCTCCAGGTCAGGGTCACGCTCTCCCCCGTCTCGCTGACCACCCTCAGGTCCTCTATGGTGGCATCGGTCCCCACGGGCGCCAGCTCTTCTGCCTTTCTGGCGCTGGCCGGGAGACGCTGGGCTCCGTCCCTCTGGGCCTCTGGGAGCAGCTGCAGAGAGCGCCCGCCGGCCCTGCTGTCCTCTGATGAAATGCCGCTTCTCGGGGTCACTGAAGAAGCCACGGAGGAGACAGGAGAGGAGGACAGGGCAGCAGCGGAGCGGGGAGACACGGTGGGAGCAGGGAGAGAAGTGGAAGAAGCAGGGGACAAAGAAGAGGACAAAGAGGACCTGGGGGAGGACAGGGACAGGGCTGTGGACGTCAATCGGCCAGGTCCTGGCTGGACCTCTGGCTCAGGGTGACCTCCCGTTCTGCTCTCAGAAGTGTCGGGTGATAAGGTGGTTGTGACAACTCCGACCACCGTCACGGTCACCACAGCTTCAGATGCCCCAGCCAGGTTTTTGGCTTTGCATTTGTAATCACCAGCATCCTTGTAAGAAATGCCTGTCAAGCTTATGATGGACCATCTGACTCCGTCTCCTGGAGATTCTTGAATTACTGAAAAAAAACAAATGTGTGCTCTGTGAGAAAAAAGGGCAAAGCTCAACACCCAGGCTGGCCGAGGAGGAAACACCCAGCTACCTGTCCTGCTCGCCACCACCAGCAGGCAGGCGCGCTGCCCAGAAATCTGACCATGGGTGATGCTCTACAAGTGGTTCACAAGAGGCCCAGGACCCGCCAGCTGTTCTGAGAGTTGGCAGGGAATGGTATTTTAAAAGATGTGGGGATGGAAATCAGGAGACTTAACTGAACTCTTATCCACTAAAAGGTACATGATTTTTGACAAATCAATTTGTGTCGTTAGACCTGTTTCTGCATTTGTAAAATAAAGGGATGAGACAAAGTAATATTGATAGGGCATGGTGGTACACACCTATAACCCCAGCATTTGGGAGGCTGACGCAGGAGGATCACTGTGAGTTCAAGGCCAGCCTGAACTACACACTGAAACCCTGTCTCAAAAAGACAAATTAATCTTAAAAATCCCTTCCCACTTTTAACTGTGATTCTTTAGGATGTTTATTGTGAGAACTTAATTAAACATTTCTCAAGATATTTTTCACTGTAATTAAATGCATCTGCCCCCAAAGCCAGAAGGATCTTTTTCTAACATGGAAGAGTCATCATTTGTATTTGATGATATTCATTGTATATTTAACCCAGACACACTAAATTATAGATTTCTTTGCAGAATATTGTTTTTACAAAATTGGACTTTTGCTTTCCTAAACACTAAAATAAAGTATTTATTTTAGTGACTGTATTTCCATTCTGTCTTGATTCCAGAAGCTTTCTAAGGAAGAATAATGTACATAACAGGATATCCCAAAATTAACTCAAGCTTAAACTGTGAATTGTTTAGTAACTATGTATGGAAATATTAACTTTTGAAGACATGGACAAATATTTGGAAGAAAACAAGAGACAATAGATAGACAGTGAAGATCTCAGGTCATCTAGCTTTGAAATTTATATCTCTTACATTGCTTTCTTATGTCCTATTTTGTTCTATTTTGTTGTGTTTAATTTTACCCCCTTTAAAATAATAATAATAATTTAAAAAAGAAATATTAAACTTTAACTTTGTCCATCAAGTTTTATTTTATAACCTCCATTTTAATTTAATTTTGAAGCATTTTAAAAATATACCCCTGTCATTGTTAGGATGTCATTGTTAAAACTGAGGCCAACACATGGATTGGTCAGAGTAGGATCCACATAGTCTGTGTAATCACTATTTCTGAAAATTGTACTTTTTCTCCATACTAAGTTGTCTGTGTGATTTATTATTTACACAACTATCCTAAAGTAAGCAACTCATATGGATGTCTCTTTATAAAAGGTTTTTACCAGTTATACATTTTTTTTTTGAGACAAAGTCTTGCTATGTAGTTTAGGCTGGCCTTGAACTCACTATGTAGGTCAGGCTGGCTTCAAACTCAAGGCAATCCTCCTGCCTCAGCTTCCTAAGTGCTGGAATGAGAGGCATGCACCACATGCCTAGCCATGGTTATATATTTTGAAGCTCTAGCCAAGATGAAAAAGACTGGTCAGGAATCGTCTGTCTACTGTATCATGTTGCTTTCTACTTTAGGTTGTGTAATGCTTTCTAGGTCATTAAATAAACTGAAGAAAATATTAACCAGTAATATAGTCTTCAGATCCCTTGCATCAAATGGATTACAGGGACAGCTCAGTGGAAGAGCTTTTGCCTAGCAAGCTCGAAGACTTGGGTTTGACCTCTAGTCTTGAAAAACAATAGCAAAAGCCCTCAATAAGCCCCAGCATCCAGCAGTCATGGCAGGTTTTATTAGAGTTAACCAGCCAGCTTCAAGTTGCCCAGAACCATGAGGTTAAGTTCAGACCTCTGTGAACAGAACCAATACCTGTGTGATTTACCAGCGAGCTGTCAGATCTGGTCCACGTGAGTTGAGGGGTGGGGAAGCCCGTGGCATCGCACCGCAGCAGGATGTTGCTTCCCAGGGCAGATGTGAGCTTGGTGGCCGAGGCCATCACCGAAGGCTTCAGACAATGCTCCAGCTCAGCCTTCTGGAACGGGATCCCGGAGAGGCGCTTGGGTTCACTGCAAAGCATTAGGGGGTCAAGCAGCACCACAGCAGGGTCAGCAACCTTGGACAGCTCAATCACTGTGGAAATGTGACAGTCACAGGACCAGGGGTTGTCCTGCAGACCTGAGCCGGGGGAAAGAAGGGTGACAAGGTTATTCTTACAAATTCCACTTGCATGAGAGTCTCATGGGAAGTTGATGCCTACAGTATCTCCCTAACAGGCATGCTTTGAAGGACAAAGCAGTCACCTCCGTGTCCCTTTTGCCTCACAATCCAATAATCTCAAGGTCCATATCCTGTGCATTAGGTCAGACCATTAATAGCCGTAGCTGACACTCAACAAGCATTTCCTCTGTGCCAGGTCTGCTGGCGGCCCATTTAACCCCAGCAACTTGCGAGGAAAACAGTGTTCTTGTTCCCACTTTAGCGATAAAGAGAAACAAAGCACTTAGTAGTCAAGGTCACCACTGATGCTGAGATGGAGAGGCCAAAATGTTGACCAAGGTCTCATAGCTAATCAGTGTTAGAGCCAAGGTTTGGCTCCAGGTAGCACAGAACACCTGAAAGACAGTCACCTAGATGTGTCTGGGGTCTCTGAATGGACTAACAGCATCCCAGTAGGGGGGCATCAAGAACAACCTAACATACCTCACTATGTCAGGGCCGGTGACATGTAAAGACATGGATTTAACACGAGTTCTATGTAGCAAACTCATGTGGTGAGACACTGGTAGACACAGGAGATGAGACTGGGAAGGCCAATAAGACACACAGGTGACTTGGTCAGGACCTGGAAGTGACTGGCCTAAACTTCTTTTCAAAGAGGACCAGCTGTAAGTAAAGCTTGCTGCTGCAGGCTTTGCCTTGTCCTGCAGAGCTGAAGCAGAATTCATCTGTCCATCAGGAACCTGTCTGTCCAGGACAGCTTGAAGGAACATGAGGGGAAAGTTATGGAAATTAAGGAGAAATTGTCCTGTCTGTGGAGTGGCAGAGAGCCCCACAATGCTGTCGCCTGCGGCAAGCGTGGAAAGTCAACACACACTCGGTGAGGGGTGATCCACAGGGGATGTTTCTGTTCGGTGCCAAAGCTGCTGAGAGGTGGCTTCTCTCGAGTATCATGTAAAGAGAGACAGTGGGTAAACAACTGTTCATATCAAGGCACCAGGACATCCCAGGTTCATGGGTTCAGTCACAAAGCCTTCCTCCTCATTGCTTTGTTGTGGGGCCGTGACACAAAGCCGAACACTCACAGCTCAGAGGAGGAGACATTTGTTGTGGCTCATGGTTCCAATCCACGATTGGCTGGCTCCAAGGCAACAGCAAAATGGCAGAGGGCCTGGTGGAGGAGAAGGAGCAGAGAGAAACAGAGCGGCAGATCTGGGGATGAACATACACCTTCCACATCACCGTGACCCACTTCCAACAGGGCCCTGCCTCCCAAAATTTAGCTTAGCTACTAAAGAGGACAGTGCACCCCAAGATCAAATCACTTCCCCCATGCACAAGAACTTGGGGAACATTTTAGTCCTCAAGCTTAACACCAGCCTCTCCAAAATCCTCAAAAAGGACGTCAGAATAAAATCCTAATCCAGGATGAGTCTATAATATTGTTTGCTGTCACCAGGATGGTGCTGCTGGAGAGCAAGCAGTTGCTGACTGAGCTGACCATGCTCCTCCAGAAGTGCCAGATGCAGGGCAGTGTGTTCGTCACCTGAGAAAATACGATGGTCGAGCTAGCTGCATCCCAAAAAAGGGTTCTGGGGAGCACTTTGAGCCTTCAGATTCCAAACGTCTGTTGAGAGCTGCGGATTGGGGAAAAGGAGATCAACACTGCGGTGAGCTCCAAAGACGTGATGTGTTTCTGATGGCTTATTCCAGCGTGTTGAGAGCTCGCAGGAGAGGGCCGAAGAAGGGAGACTGAAACAACCAGAATCCAAAGGCCAAAACGGCACAGGCAAGGGTGCCGGGTTCTCTGCTTTTATCAGTTAATCAACGAAGCTATTTTTCCTTTGGGTCACAAAGTTAGGTTTTTGGTTTCTCTGCTGGCAACAGTTTTCATGGGAGATGAGGATCATTTTAGAGAGAAAAACATTAACAGTTTACAGGGCAGTTGTGGTAAGAAGCTAGTGGTTGTGTATTCCTGGATTTGTAATCATTTCCCTGGAGAGCAATGCACCATTAAATATTTGTCCCTCCCCCAAAAAATCAAATTAAAAAAATCATTTGTTGAAATCTGAGAAGTCTCTAAGATATTCTTCAGAGCATTCTGTCCAAAACAGCTCTCTGAGGTTCCTAGAGTGACACCCTAAGACAGCCCCACGGGAAGCCTGTGGTAGGAAAGGGCAGGATGCGTCTCAGGGACCTGTGGTGATGGTTTTTCACTCATGGTCATACACCGAGAAGAAAAGAGAGAACTGTAATTTAGAAAACAGTAGCCATGGTTGAAATTTGTTAATTTTCACGGTCTACATTTCTATTTATAGCTATATTATAATAGTTGTAGTGATTGGGTTGCTTTTCTCCAGGATGATAAAAATTTATGTCTTTATCTTTTATTTTGTTCTGTTTTATTTGCTAATTTTGGCAGCATTGTGGGTTGAAATGAGAGCCTTTGCACTGAACTACATCTCCATCCCTTAAATGTTTTTATTTTATTTTGAGATAGGGTTTCCCTAAATCACTAAGTCATCCAGGCTGGGCTCAAACTTGAAGTCCTCCTGCCTCGGCCTCCCAGAGTGCTGAGATTCCAGGCGTGCACCACCGTGTCCAGGTTTGTCCTTTGTCTTAGATTTTTGCTTTTCTCCCATGGGAAAGTGAACTTGAACTTTGCCTTTTGCATCATCTCCTGAGGATATGGCCAGTTCTCTAATATTAATTTGGATTCCATTCTCTTCAGTGCTGGCTCCTTCACCTGATTTCATGCCGCAAGCAGTTTCCAGTTTTTTCTTACGTCAGTGAGAGTGGCTCTGAAACCTAATGTCCTGGCTGGAATCCCAGGCCTAGAACAGTGGGCAGGCATCTGACGACCTTCTCAGCCTCGTCCGCAGAATATATACAACAGCAGTAAGAATTCATAGAGGTACTTGGAATGTTAATTAAACTGTTCGTATAAATTACCTCAAAGTCTGACTTATGTTTTAAAAAATCTCTGTGAACTGTAACCAGTTTTGCTAAAACCAAAATATTTTAAATCTCATTTAATACAAACTTTCAAACTCTGAAGAAGTAACAAATTTCACACGGAAGAAAATTCCCTGCACTCTGACTCCCATTTTTTGCTGAATGGCGATTAAACTCATAAATCTATCATCCACTAAAAACCAAAGTGGACGGAAGCAGTGATGGCCTGGCGGAGCCTAAAGCAGCTGCAGGAACGATGCCAGCTAACAGACAGTCAAAGCTATGTGTGCTTGTTATTGTAAATATCAGTTGACCCGGTATATTAATGCCAGAGTTACATACAATTAGAGACATATGCAAAAACTAATAAGAAAGGACATCATCTTCACAAACTTTACTGGGCCCACATGCCAGAGGCAGCTCTGTGCCCTTGTTTTTGCTGAGCCTCAGTTTCCCCATCTGTAACATCAGAGAGTTGACAGACTCCAGAGCTCTCCCCAGCTCTGATGTCCTGGAGAAAAGCAGAGGAGAAGCCAAGCGACATTGAAATCCACAGTCACGGGGGACACATAGAAGAATGTGGCAAGGGAGAGCCCACGTCATCCATTTCTACATCTATTGATGAGGTGTGAGAGTAATTCATGGATCTACACCAGTGGAGGCGAAGCCGTAGCTTGTGTGCACAGAGGGCACACCCACCAAATCTTCCCAGCAATGGAGCATCAGATAACAGTTTGTTTTAGAAAAAACTCAGGTTTGATCGCAGCACTGGCCCACTGCAGTAAATGGGTTTTGCATTGTTTGGGCACTCGCCATCATTGATCTAGACCGCTTAGTCATGCCTAGTTTAAAAAGTTCAATAATTCAAGTCAATAACCTCTCTTACTCTAGCCTGCCTTAATTAAAAGTTAAAATGTGAATTCCATACAATAAGAAACCAGTTTATTTGCTTTGACTGCAATCCAGACTAGAGTGGCCAATTCCCTTTTAATAAACAATAGAACTGATTTTGCTTATTAAAATCAGGGGAAGGTTCACAATTGTTTCAAGCCTTTTAAAGGTGCAGTCCTTTCAGAAATTTTCCTTTACCTGTATCCACCTGTTTACATTTGCCAGTTTTAAGTTGCATGCATTTAAATGTTACTATAAAGCATTAGAGTTGAAATTTTTCAATCTGATCCACACAAATTAATGATGTCAGTTAAGACATAAAGTACCAGTAATTTCTACAAAATTTAGAAATAATTAAAAATTTGACTTTGTTGCCATCTGTTTTTGACAGAATGAGCTCCATTCTTACAGCTGATGCACTCACAAAGTGCACATCCAGTTGTCCACCTGCTCTCGGATGTAAAACAGGTGACACCAGGGACCAGGAAGTGCACACAGAGCAGCACGCTCTCTCTGATGGGGAGACCTGCTAGCATCATGGCTAGGAGAATGGAAAGGATATCCAACTTGGAAAACAAGCAATCAAAAAAAGAAAAAAGCAATCAAAAGATCCCAAAGAGAACATACATGAGCCACCTTAAAAGTTCAGAAATACTACACTAAAAATGTTATATTCTATATTTAAAATTCTATGTTCATCATAGCTATTTCATTACTTGAATTTTGAAGACTGATTTCTAGTTTGACCAACAAACATCAAATTTAGCTTGTCATAATAATCAATGCATTTAGAATGCCGTATATTTTCCAAACACCTTGCCTTGATGTGTGGAAATTTTTTCCTTAACTTAGCACAAATTGTTAGGGGCTGGGTTGGCTGCTGGTGTGAGATAGTGGCTTAGGAAACAGAAGGAAGCACCAAATGGGGACTTATAAATGTGCTGTTAATGAGGTGTGGCTTAAAACCTTTGTTCCTAGTCAAAGGAACAGATCTTAAAGACATCACAAAGGATGAGGCAGAATTTGAAAATGTTGGTGGAAGAAACAGATCATCACCGCAGACCGGACACTGTGGCTGAAAAAGCCTCAGCCAGAACCAGGGAGCTCCTGTC